CAGCCTGATCTGCATTTGATGGAATGAAATCCAAATTCACACACGGAACCTTCAAAGTATTGCAGTCCAGCATATAACATTCAGTTAGTAGTTGATGTAAATACTGATGTTGGTGTATACTGACTTCCTCGGGTACAGCTAAGTTGACTTTAAGTTTGAGAAACCAACAGGGCTGTCCAAGACATACGGTGTTCCATTTTGTATACATAGCGACTGTAATTACATCAGCATCCTGGGCTGATTGACACATGATGATCTTATCGTCAACGTGTACAAATAAAATACAGAGTTAACCTGGTGTAGTGTGCTTGACGAATACAGCGCGATTCTCGTGCAGTCGTATGTATCCTTGGTTACGGCAAAGTTCAGAGATCTGCGATACCATAATTCACGAGATTTCGGCAAACCATAGAGAGCTCTGGATACTTTGCAAACAATGGACTTGTCACCTTGCTGTGATAGATGTAGTAGAGACTTCTGATCTTGGGTAGCAGTTTTTCTAGCTGGTGATAGCCAAGGGGTACTCGCATATAGACAGGTATTTCTAAGTCACTGTTCATATAGGCGTTGGGTGTGTCAAATTGACATATTACCATATCTGTGTGTGCCAAAAGCCATACATAGTCTAAAGGAATCCTTCATCACAACTGGTGCATAACTACGATTGTAATCAATCCCTTTGATTGCAGACCATGCAGCTACAGTCAAGCGACTCTTCAAACGTACTATCTCACCACGATCACTCCTTTTTTTCTCGACAAATACCCATTTTGGATTAATAAGGGTTTTCTCCGGGGGTTTGTTATCAACCAAAGTCAGTGTTGGTCTAGTGATAACTAGTGATGTGAGCTTCTGAGTTACACTTGATAGCCATGCATCCTTGTTAGGAAGTTTAGCTATATCGCGATAGGTCTCAGGTACTAGCTTTATCACAGGTTGTTTACGCTTGAGTTTGTGTGCATCAACATTGACGAGAGGATTGAGTGCTGGTTGCTGTGGTGGCGGCAATGTTGGCACAGACTGAGAAGCTGGCAATGCAGGTATTGCTGGTAAGGGTTTCTGTGGCTGTGATGGGGCTGGTAAAGGCAAAGCGGGCTGCGGTGCTGACAGTGTAGGGTTTGTAAATGTCTCTCCGGTAAGGTGAATATGTTCATTCCAAAGAAAATATTGATCCGCGTGTAGAGTCACATCTCGGCCAACGACTATTTGTTTAGAGTTGATATCATAGATGCGGTAAGTATCCACAGTAGTATCCATAGGTTGTGCTACGAGAATACCAAATTTACCTTGGTGAGCTAAAGACGATGTGTCTGTTCGCTCCTTAAAATTGAATACACAACCGAATGTACGGAAACGTTGTAGGTTGGCTGGTTGATTACAAAGCAGTGTAATCGGTGCAGATGTATTAGTGTCGTTAGCTATATCATTAGTGATGTTGATAGCTTGTATGAATGCTTCTCCCCAAAACCATAAGAGTAGAAGAGCTCTCACCAGGATAGCACGCGCTCGTTGCTTAATAGTCTGATGTGCTCGTTCGATCAATGCATGAAACTCGGGTGTTGCAGTTGGTGCATACCGTTTATGTATCCTAGATGATATAAAGATACCCTCATCTGAAGTGATGTGAATTGGGAGCCACGGTCAAATTGTATAGTAGTTACCTTCTTCCCAGTAAGTGCAAATAGCTTGTCCAGTAAATGTAGACGGTTCTGAAGTACATTGGTGGCTGCAATGTTCTCTAGTAATGCTGCTGAGAAGTACCTTGAGAAATCATCAATAAGTGTAAGCGCCCAACGATCATTCTATAAAGCAGCTGGTGTGAAGGGTCCAATGATATCACCGAATATAAGTTCAAGTGGTTCCGATGAGTCATCACTCTGTCGTTGTTTGGATGTGCGTTTGTTCCGTTGGTTGGCAATTGCACACTGGTCGTAGTCCTGATGTTGACGGATAGCTGGTAAATTGTGAGGTAAATTCCCAGCATGTCCCAGGCGGTCATGCCATGTCACATATATTTGTTGGTCGGGCATTAGCAAGTCATTGAAACAGACATAATACAGACCATCGTGATGTTCAGTAATATGCATAATTCTGCCATCCGGTGTGATGATCGCCAGATGTTTGTAACTGAAGAAAAATATGTACATCAGTATCGTCAACAGTCGTGCGCTCAGCAAGGGCAAGGTGAAGCTGTCGTCGACAAGAGTTGTGCCAAATTTAAATAGCTTAGCAACATAAGTTGGTACTATTACTTTACTGTTTGACCCGAGTACTGTGTACATAGTATTTACAACATAAATGAAGCCAAGCATCCTTATAATTGATGTAGGTATAGCATGTACAGTAGCACCTGAGTCAACAGCTAGTCAAAATTGGTTGTAGCCATTGTCAGGTTGATTGTAGCCATGTTGTTGTTGTGAATTGTGATCATTGTTGACCATAGACATGTTGCTATGGTAATGGCCAGGTTGTTGTGGCCGGGATTGGTGCTGTTGTTGGGGCAGTTGCGGTTGTTGCGGTTATTGCGGTTGTTACGGTTGTGGAGGTTGATATTGGCTTGGTGGTTGATTATTGTAATTTGGGTATTGTGGTGCGTTATAAGGTTGGTAGTAGTTGGTATCCCTACCGCAATTGTTAGATGCACCTCGGCCTCTGTATCCGCCTCGATTATTGCTTCTGTTGTTATATCTACCGCGAGTACCTTGGCTATAGTTATACCTACCGCGCGCACTACTACGGAATCTTCCACGACCACGGTCTCGACTATTACCACGTTGACTATAATTACCATCATTGGAATTATTGCGCGAATTTGGCTGAGCTCGATTCGTATTGACTCTCTGCGATCTGCATCTGTCAGGAGTGTAACGGCTTTGCCACAATTATTGTATATGGTTTGTAAAGAAAAGGCTGATTCAGGTTTTTTGTTCTCCTGAGTTAATTTCCTGATCTCAACTTCAATACCAGAATTGCGAACGTATGATGAAGCCTGCTCATAAGTATATGCTTGTCCTACTGCGGATAGCAAGTTGCTGCTGTTGACATCATAGTCGTCGTGAATAGTATTCTGTAAGATGGCAAGTTTTTCTGTGCCATTGATATTAACGCGTAGGTTAGCAGCTTTTGCAATTTCACCATTCAAATGAGTGACGAATTGACTCGTCTTCTCTCCAGAATTTTGTTTGATCTGATAGAAACCAATTCTCGCTCGATTGCTGAGGCCTCGAGATTCAAAATTGTAGCGATTTTGAAGATGTTGTATCATAGCAGAGGGATTATTCAGATACTGGCGGCATTCTTTCAATAATGGTGATAATGAAGAATATAAGATGTATTGAGCTTGTCCATAATGTATTTGTGACCATTGCCAATACGGAGGCTGCGGGTAGGTGATGATATCAATGATGCTCTTCTGATACAACAAGATTGTTACTTCACATAGTCAGTTGGCAAAGCTCTCTCGGCCTTAGTATAGTGTCAGGTACATCTTTTTTTCCAGTCCTATTGCTCAGAGTTAAGAGACCTGATAAGTTATTAATGTCCCGATAATTGAATAAATTATTTTGAGTCGTAGCTCCGTGTTTATAAGGGAATTTACTACGCTATTATTAACTGACTATACATAGGGTATGCCACGAGGAAAAACTCAATGTCATATAGTGATATCTGACAGCTAAGAAAAACTCATTTAGATGGTACTAACTGTATATAAACCAATTAGGTTGTATTAATTCTTTCAAGTGAGCTGGATCTAGAGCCTTGAATATCGGACCAATAGTGTAGCCAAAAATGCTTTGAGCCAAGTTTCCAGTGAACGGAGTTTACGGAGTTTCATAGCGTTCAACACAATTTTTTATGTAGATGGGGTTTCCCTCACCGAGGTTTTCCCCCTTAGTCATGAACTAGTCATGCCACAAAAAAATAGTATAAATACCCTAGCCAACATCATATAATAAAGTACTTTTACAGTTCTCTATTAGATGATAGTCTAACAGATTCATTCGTTCTATTTTCTTGAATGTGACACCTGAGAGTCGAATCTGTTGTTGTTTGTGCCATAGGTTCATCTGTTGTAGATCGGATGTGAAAGGCCTTAATCCTAGAGTAGAGAAACTGGCCCATTGAAGGCTCCCTAAATAGGATAGCCAGGTCTTAGTTCTTATGCGGCGATGATTCCGTAGGCCTTGTTGTTTGATTTGGGACCCCAGATTAACCAACTTGGTCTTGAATTCCGGGGTCATGGTGATGCTGTAGGTCTAAAATTACCCCCAGGTAGGGAAGTCCAGTCGCTGGGTGGCTCGAACATCCTTTGCCTGGGGCCAGTTGCAGCCCTAGAGAGTTGAGTAGGCGGTCTATGAGCCGCATGTGTTTCATGATATGTTTGCGTAGACCTACTAACAGTAGGTCGTCTGCGTATCGTATAATTCGGATTCCTTTGTTCCTTGTCAGCTTCCGGAACACACTCATCAGTCGGTCGAACCAGTATGAGCTAAATGCCGGCCCCATTGGCAGCGCCAAAAAGCACCGCAGCCGTCCCGTGTTGTCTCGGAACTGCCAGTATTTTGGCTCTGCCACACCCAATGCATGAAATCCGTCCTTTACATCTGCAGACATAGCTACATCCCCTGGCCGGGCAACCTCGGAAAGATTCTCCAGCCCTTCTACTCGAAAACGGGGTGTATCCGCGTGTTAATTGATTTTTGTTGGACTCAGTATTAAAGCATTCTCTGAGGTCATCCGATTTGGGGATGACGAATGCCGGGGTGAACTAGGTATGCCTCCGATTTCTGGCATCGTCGAAAAACCCCTTCCTCTTCGAGTCGATGTAATTGTGTCCTTATCATCTCGTCCGTCACCTCCGGGACGTGAATCCATCTACCCTGTTAAGAGGGCGCGGGAGCGCCCTTCGATCCCCATTGTGGGCGAATGCCGTACTTGATCGCCTGTAAAAGTTCTTTTGGAGCTCCGTGCGCCCTCCGTACTGATAAATTCTGATGAACCTTGAGGTATAGGGCAGTTGGATTCGGGTGTTTACTGGTGGTTAATGGCCCCGGCCCCGGTATTCTTTCCTGGGTCCGGAGTCGTATTCTTCTTGGTGTCGTCACCGTTGCCTCCCTTGGATACTAGCGCAAGTTCGTGCCGACGCCGTTTTGCTGTCCTGATGAAGCCTGCGATAGCTGGGTTGTTGTTATACGTGGGTCGAGCCTGATGCTCGACTAATGCCGCGATCCTAGAGCTCTCTTGGACCCTAACACGCTTGAGTTCTACCACTCGAACCAAGTCTTCTATTGTTTCTAATATGAGACTTGCTGTCTGATAATCTTCCCAAGTGAATTTGCTCAAGTCAAAAGCTAAGAAGTTTGCCCAGGTAAGGGTGTTCCTGACTTCCTTCTGTACTGGCCCCAGTTGAGTGCGGTATCAATCTGGTACCTCAATTGAAGAGTACTTGACTCCCTTTGGAAACTTGACTTTTTGGACCCACTGGGTTCCCAGTTCCCTCATGATGCCGATGCTCCATCAGCCTTGGAGACCTTAGATACAGGGAGTCTTAGCCCGTAAAGAGAGTCCGGCCCTTCGCTGATCGAGGCGCAATCGCGGTCCTCAAAAGATTCACGGATTTCTTCTGCCAAGGCACGTCTCTGAGCCTGGTTTGGCTACTTCCCGGTCTACGTTCTGTTTATCTAGGTTGTCGGCAATTTCGATGTAAATGGATTTCACACACACACACACACACACACACATATATATATACATATATAAGTATATTTACATGTATATGCACACACATACACAAACACACACACACATATATATACCCAT